CCCCCCCCTTTTGTGGTACTCAGGACTCTGCACACCAGGCAGACACTTATTCTGCTGAGCTATCTTTCTGGTACCTCTAATTTTCTCTTTTCAATTAGCCATATCCTGAACACACACACTATGTCTTTTACTGTCTTGAGTCTCACTATTACTTAGTAGAGGCTATGGATAGGATGCTGTTCTCTCCTGTTGAACGTTTGTCATTACCACCCTGAAGAAGCTTCATGAAGACTACATTGATTTTGAGAGTGTTTTTGAGAGCCTCAAAAACACTTGGAAATAAAAAGCATATATGTAGTGGACTAACCATAACAGGTTCTTCTGTTTATTTTATCTTTATTAAGAATAGAATTTTTTATGGTTATTTGCAAATAAAATAAATGATATGGAATGGTGCATTAGCAGAAGAGCGCACATCTCAAAATCACACTGGATTGAATCTGCCGCTTGTAGAGGAAGGCGGACAATACTAAAACAACTTGAGACTATTCTTCATGTAGCCTCTTATTTTTTTCTCCACTTACAGATACACTTTAAATGTAGCAACAATAATTTTTAGTGTAAAACTTAACAGTAAATACTCCTTTTTATGACCTATCTTAATTAATATCTTTTATTTTCTAATAGTTCCATAAAAAGGGGTAAAGAACAATCCTTTAACAACTTACTATGTGCCCAGAGATGTATATTCCTCAATAACTATGTGACACTGGGTTAATGCACCACCTTAATTTGAGGACACTGTGACGTGGAGACATGTAAGGACTACGAGGTTGGTGCAGCTGTATCTAACATATGCCAGAGTCCACGCTTGGTGTTCTACATGATACTGCTTCCAATCTACAGAAAGTGAAGCCAGGAAAACAAAACACAAAAACAAAAGCACAGACACATTCCTGTTCTACTTCTTCACTCCAAAGCTTGGTGCCTGATTCCGTTCTGTGGATATTCCCTTTCCAAAACCTGAAGCATAATCATGCAATTCCTTTTGAAGATTTCTGTTTTTACAGGCTCAAGAGTTTTTTCCTCTTCTCATCTCTCATAATATGCTCACCCTCAGAAGTCCGCTTTGGAAGGAGGTAAGACAGTAGTGATGGGCAGGCTAATTGCAATACAAAGAGAGGCACTGTTGAAAGACACACATGTGCATCATTTTGTCTCACAGACTATTCATTTGTCTATCTTTTCATTGCACCGCAAAATCTTGAGCCTGCTGTTTCATGCAAACTTTCTTATAAAAATCACAGCCATAAAATA